ATCTTGAGATATTTTCTTTCTTATCGCAATGCAATTCCAAAATGTAGCGCCTGATTCTATTTTTAACAACGAACTGATTAGCTTTTAATCTGTTTTTTTTATTAAAATATTTTTAGATATTTCAAAAAGTAATAAAAATTCGCCTAAAGTTGCGATAAGCCACTGTAACCTAAACATTTTTTTTTAATAATATAATGGGCCTAGTCGCCATGAATTAAATCTTTTGTTAACATTTAATTTTACTAATAATTATATCATAACTGTTTGTACTGTACGCAAAACTTTTATACAAATAAAATTATTTTTAAGCTCAATGTATAATATGTTATTTGTATTATAGTAAAACCTTCGAGTATTTTTTTAAACTTGCAAATATGAGATATTATTAGAGTGCTAGCCTGGTTTTTGAATATCGTGTGTAGCAGGTGGCAGGTGGCAGTACTACACATGAAGTGACAAACGAATTTACAGCCCATCTGATAGTAACTGGCTATTTCTGTCCATGGGCAGTAGACACATGCAGCCAACTTCAAACCAGGACTGACCTTTGAAGATAAAACTGAATACAGCGATGCAAGCACTGCCATTAGGCGATAGAAGCAGGCAAGTGGTTGGTATTTACCCAGTCGGACTCGTAAGCAGAAAAGTAATCCCACCACCTGGTTTTTGTTAAAAGAAATTGTTAAAAGAAATTTATTAATTTACGTTTAAGTTTATTAGCCGCCTAGAACGTGTGACGTATGTTACAGAGTCCTTTCAACTTAATTAATTTGATAAAAAAAAGTTGCTGCCAATATACGTTTCCACTGCTGGACACAGGCCTTCTTTTATATCTGAGAGGGATTTCTTACCTTCCCAAATATTAAAGGAATCCCCAGTACGCAGCAAATTATCATAGGTAATTTTTTATAATTAACATTGCAACAATAACGTTAAGGAAAGTTATATACTTATATTAGTTATAAAAGTATGTTTCCTAAAATAAAGTTCTGAATACAAATCTATCAATGCTGTACGATGACGTTTTCCTGGCGTACGTACGTTTTCAAGCGCGCGGTCATTGCCAGATGAACATCCGCGTTTTGTTACGCAATTCATTGACGTAATTCGGAGAGTAATACGTCAATAACAAACGTAAGAAATTATTTGATATCTATATTTAAAGATGGATGAAAGTCTTGTGAATTCCATTTTAAACCTCTATAAACATAAAAATTGGAGAGCAATAGTATCTCGATATCACGACCATCCAGATAGGAGCAAGTTATTATGGGTGTTCCCAACAGAGGAGAATTTTGCATTTCTACGTGATAGTGTGGTTGAATTAGGATGCAATGGAATCTTAAGCATTGGATGTGGAAGTGGTCTATTAGAATGGATGATAACGGAAGCTACAGGTAAGTGTTTCTAAAAACTATAAGTAACAAAGTAAAATTAGCGCTACTGTAGAGGAAATCTATAAATATCAAAGTAAATTACTCAGTATTTTTTTTAGTTTCATTTGTAGGTAAGTAATTCATTCAGGGGTAGTGTTAGCGCCTTATGTAGTCTAAATGTTTAAAAACCTGTTTTCGGAAGGAAGTATTATTTAAACGAAGTGGTTACATTCTCTAGGACATAAGTACTAGGTATAAAAGTAAAGTAAAGTTACAGCCTATATACGTCCCACTGCTGGGCTCAGGCCTCCCCTCATTTCTGAGAGGGTTTAGGGCAAGGAAGTGTCCGCCGCGCTGCCCAAATGCGTGTTGACGAACTTCACATGTCTTCGAAATATTTTTTTTTCTTATTCCTTAGACATGCAGGTTTCCTCACGATGTTTTCCTTCACCGGCGAGCACGTGGTAAATCAGCACTTAAAATTGCAATTAACAATTTCATTGGTGCCGGCGGGGATCGAACCGGGGTTACTAGCGTTCTGTTATATTTACAGCGAGCGTTAACCACTGAGCTACCACGACTGTACGGTACTAGGTATATATACACACAGCCTTAAGCGTAACATAGGCGTTTTCAATAATGCGCCAACTTACTTTATGTAGACAAATTGGTGAGCGTAGATCCTACTATATCCTTGTACTGGTACAGCTCCATTAAAAAGTACATTTTTATAGAGTACTGTGTGCTCACACAGTCCACCCGATCATAAGTGGTTGCTGTGGCCCATAGACATCTTCATCTATACTCGATTAAGAATCAAAATGCAGATTTGTAGTCAGTAGTCACCCTTGACAACTAAGATGTAATGCCTCCTTTCCAATATTAAGAGTCTCTGGTTCTCTACGCTCACCATACGAAGCACAACAGCATTATGCTACTATTTTAGATTGTTATTCTGTTGGAGTCTTTTCAACCATAATAATATAGCTTGGCTGTACCACGTGATATCGGTGTGGTATATTTCACGTGTCGCCTAACCTATATATTTCACAAACGGGTAATATGAGTAGCAAAAATATATGATCGAAACTTTGCCATAAACTTTTTTTTTATAGAGATACATTAACATAGTTCATTCACACTGATTGTAAATGATACCTAAGTAAGTGAGTAAATATCTATAATGGATTAAGAATTAAAATGAAAAATCCTAAAGACTAAGATGAATGCCTCGTTAACAGTAAAATATGGCCACCATTTCTAGCCACTTACCCGTACGAACGAAACACATCAGCATTATCTGCAATGTACTACTATATTTTTTACTATACACGTGGTAGTGTGTAGCGGTAGAGCAATGCTGCAATTATATTAGTAGTACAGTTGTAGCACGAATGGCTCGGCTCGACCGGGGAAGGACCACGCTCTCACAGAATGCCTGCGTAAAATAGTAGCTTAATGCTGCTGTGTTTCGTATGGTGAGTGTAGAGAACCAGAGACCCATTTTACTGGAAACAAGGCATTCCATCTTAGTCCTCACGGGTAACAACGCATCTGCATTTTGATCCGTAATCGAGGATAGATGTAGATGTATATGGACCACAGCAAACACTTACCATCAGTTGGACTGTGTGCTAGTTTATCCACCTATCCTATAAAATAAAAAAAATATATGCAAGCGTAGTCCTTCCTTGTTCGAACCGGCCCATTTCCTTCTGTTGCCATAATACGCTACATCATGCCTTAACCACCTTTGTAATTTACTAGGTATATACACAGTAATCTATGTTTACTAGCAACGTTAACGAGAAACCCGCCTGTTAAATTTAACGCGTGACTGGACACCTTGAGATACAAAAGTTAATATATCGATTTATTAATTCTACGATCTTCTTTTTAGGTTTACCAGTATCAGGAATTGAAATAGATGGAGCCTGGTGGCACTGTAAATACGCCCCACCAACGTTTATACCCCTAATTATAACCACACCTACTTTAAATAGCAGCACTATTAGTCTTTTGAGAGATGCAAAATCAGTTGCTTTATTATTCTGTTATTTTAATAACGGACCGGCATTTGCTCAATATATAAAACATTATTCCGGACCTGTGATAGTTATAATTGGACCAGGGTACGGTAAAGGTGTTCACACAAACCCAACTCCGTTTGAGGATTTAGGGGAAGAATGGAAAATGTACAGGTCACAGGAGATTAGAGATAGTCAAGATTATATTGCTATTTATCAAAGGAATCATAACAAAGAAACGAAAATTGTATAATCTTCTTAAAAATAAACGTTATGATTGTTGCCTGCAACTTACTTAGCGAAGAGCAAACCTCACAAATTAACGGGTGTCGTTATTTTTTTCAAGTTCTTCACATAGCGAAAGTTTTCTATATTCACTCTAGTTATTTTACTGAAATTCCTTCTTTACGCAATTATACGTTTTTTAATTTATAAAATTAATATTATAGATAATTATTTACACCAACAAACAAACCGATATGTTTTATATCATTATGTTAAAGAACTAAAAAGATAAATATGCAGACCCAAAAGTGCTTACCTAAATAGATTAAAAAAATATTGTCGTAATGAAAATATCTCGAAAAATTAAAAATGGAAGACTGAATAGAGAAATATACACAATACCAAAAGTGAATAGATTTTTAAAAACACCTCGGACGTCTGACACCTCAGTCCCCTCCGTGACCATGGGTTCTGTAAAGTATTTGACTGCCTCGATGGTCTAGTGGTTGTATTAATGCGACTGCTGATCATGAGGTCCTGGGTTCGAATCCCAAGTAGGGCCACACGTAAACCCGCTGGTCCTGCGCCTGATCTCTCTCCGATCGTGTTGGTTAACCGTCCCATTGTATTATGAGAGTGAGGGAATAGAGAGTGCACCTGTGCCCGCGCATACACTTGGGCACTATAATCCTGTCCTGCGCCGATGGCTAGTCTCCGTTGAGGCTGGCCGCCGTGATCGAAATTCAGTCTGGAGGACATTAAAGTACTTGAAACGCCGGTGATATAAAAAAAGTTAATATACGCAATAAAATCCGTAAAAACTAGCGGTGTCAATCATGACTTCAATAGATGTTAGTAATCATCTCGTATATCGTACATGGCAGATGCTATGTTAGATAGATCAGCGATGGGATTGGGAAGCAACTTTAAAGAAGGGACACGTGGTACTGGGAACGCCCATCAGCATCATTATGGCAAATCTTTCTACAGTTGGAGGAAAAAGTGAATGGCGGTGTTCAGCATTGGAGTTTATACAAACTGGTTATGAGTGAATGGAACCTTAATTCTATGTTTTTTTTCTAAAATTAATATAAAAATTTGTAATTAGTTTTGCAAATGTAAATAAAACGATTAAATTTAGTTGAAAATATTAATTAACAGTCTTTTAAATTTTTTGTTGCAATTCATATGTAATCCTTTAAGTTATAATTTACAAATTGAATCTCAAAATCATCAACTTATATACAGTATAGGTTTTACCAATGAGTAATTATATCTAATACCAATAAATGTATCAACAATATAAACGCAGAAAGCTACCATAACAACTAAAAAGGCGGGTTGCACCTATTTAATAATGTATTATGCACTTTTAGTTTTTCATCAGTTCTATGTTTTTAACATTAATTTTATTGGTGGAAGGCCTGACCGACGTGTTCATCATAGGGTCTTTCTTTCCATGTACAAAGGTTTGAAATTCATTATTCAATACCTCTGAGGATACCATATCTAAGGACTCTTTTTGATTTATAATCGGAACTTCTGTTACCATTCTGTTAATTTCGTTTACTGCCACCTCAGCAGGCATATTGCTTGAGGTTATATCATTCTCTAGAAAGTGAAAATCATTGTGCATGAGGTATAGAGACTCCAAAGGGAAGTTCATGTCGAAACGGGGCAGCATTTTGTTGTCGTCGGAATTATCATCGATTTCTATTACGTCGTTCTGTTGGTCCGATATTTCTGGTAAGACGACAGTCGACAGGTCTATATGTGGCGAATATTGCTCACCTATAATATTGTCCATTAAATATTGGTCTATGATAGATGGATTATTAGACGTGTTGTTTAAGGCCATGTTATAGAACGCATCAGATTTCACTTCATTTTTTATCTCATTCATATTCTTATGAATATCTTCAAGAGGTGGTGAAGCCTTGTATTCTCTGCTGATAGCTTGCGTGTTGAGGTTGCACATTCTCTCTAAACTAGGCGATTGAGTATTTTGTTTGATTGTCGCTTCCAGTTTAATGTAACTCGGATCGTTTGTCTGGATTTTCTGAGCCGAGGGCAACATTGTCATGGAGTTTACATTCATTTGTTGGTTAAACGTAAATATTTGAGGATTATTGTTCAATTCACTATCGACAGGCGTTGTTGCTGAATCTTCAAGCATATTTTCTTGAGGGTAAGCCATTATTGTATTAGGTGATTCGCTAAGCACCGGCTCGGGTTGAAGTTGCATGAATTGCGTAGTGATCAAGTTGTTAAAAGTCACTGGCCTGCCTAGACCGAACCTTTCATTGTCCTCCAATCTTTTAAACGCCATTTTCTGTTGCGAATGAAACATATTAACCTGATCCGGGCCTTTAAGTATTAAATTGCTCTTTACAGATATTTTTGCCTTCTTTTTCGGCACACCATCTGGTTCATTACTAACGTTAATGGGGGAATGACTAGAAGATGGAACAGGCAAGATTTGCGTAGGCTTAATGATAGGTCCAAGAACTTTTGTCATCGGCATAGATATTTTATCGACAGGTTTCAGCATTATGTTGTTCCTAACCGATATTTGAGGGGTGGGAGGTAACCTAATGGGGAAATTAGCCATGATATTGTTACTAATACTGCTACCAATCGGAGAATGATCAGATGCAAGAGAATTTACACTATTGTTTTGTAGAAGACTCTGTTCCATTGATACAGACGTATTTAAAAACCCATGTAAATTGGATTGATTACTATCAAATGTCATTTGTAAGGGACGTTGTGAAGTGAACTGGTGTCGGTCAATTAAAGTGTCATTCAAGTTTTCAGATATAACACAATCTGAATTGTTTTCCTCTTTACTTAGATCTGTGACCATAACACAACTCTTAAAGGTGGGAGCTTGAACTTCATTGCTTGTTGTTGTACAGTAGTTTTTTGGATATTCCTGTGGTAAGCTTTCGGATAGACTATCACAGTCATATACTTCTATTGGTATTGCATTTACTGTTTTTGGGCTCGAGTCTTTAGCAACTTCATTTGATAATTTATTGTTATCATCAGATTTTTCTGTATCACTTGGAATAGTCCAACTTGGTTTACCAGCTTTTCCTGTTTGCATGTCTACAAGCAATTGTATACCTTCTTTGTCTCTGTGTGTGGTGAGATGTACGACATATTTTTCCTTGCTAACAGATTTAAACGGACAATAAGGACAACAGTGTACATCATTAGAACTGACATTGGGATGTTTGGAGATCATATGAGATGTGAATATGTTAGTTTGTATTGCTGTGTATGGACAGTATTTGCATTTGTAAACACCTTCATTGGAATGCAGCTTCTTGTGACGTCGCATTGCATTGTGGTCTGCTGCACGGTATTCGCACTGGTCGCAAGAATACGGCCTGTCACCTGTATCATTAATCATTTTTATACATAATACTATCAGATTCAATAATGATTTGAATAAATAATTATAGCAATTGTAACATTTTTTTTAGAGTGAAGTGACGAACGAGCACACAGTCTACCTGATGGTAAGTGGATGCTGTGGCCCATAGTCACTTACATCTATTTTCAATTAAGAATACCAAAATGCAGTCTCATCAATCACCCTTGACGATTATTCCAGTAATAAAGGTGTCCGGTTCTCTACATTCACCATACGAAATACAGCAGTACTAGGCTGCTATTTTTCGCTAGTATTATAGAAAAATAGCGGGAGAGCGTGATCCTTTCCCGGTGAAGCCACCTCTTTCGTGCTACAACAACAATATAGCTACAACGTGGTTCTCCCACATATAAAACAAAACAATTGAGCTTGACATTGAAGGAAAACATTGTGAATAAAATTTTGAACACAGGTAAACGGGAAAAATTTCAAACAAAAACTTTTCCCGTTACTTTTGCTGCTACAAAGTGTTGTATGGTAGTTAGAAGTGGAACATGGTAATTCAAACAATAACTCGCAACATTTCGACAAAAGTATAAGCATTTAATATCAACTGGGTTCAGAGGGTAGTGAATATCCTGACATTTTATGTGGAACAAAATGAATAGTTATGGAACAAAATGCAATGATGTGAGAACAATTGCAATGATATAGCATTTACAGCAACACTTTATTTCAATCATCACCATCATCATTTTTAAGGACCACTGATAGACATTTTTTTAGACTTTTCGTAGAATTTTAAGGATTTGTTGTGGAACTGGATTTTTATGTAGTAGAGCCATGTTGGAGCTATATTAGTAGTATAGTTCTAGCACGAATGGGTCGGCTCGACCGGTGAAGAGCCACAGTCTCACAGAATACCAGCGTAAAATAGCAGCTCAATACTGCAGTGTTTCATATGGTGAGTGTAGAGAACCGGAAACCCCTTTTTACTGGAAACAAGGCATTCCATCTTAGATCTCACGGCTGACAACGCATCTGCATTTTGATTCGTAATCGAGAATAGATGTAGATGTCTATGGGCCACAGCAACCGCTTACCATCAGGTGGACTGTGTGCTCGTTTGTCACCCTAAACTATAAAAAAAAAGAGTTACACAGAACCTCATTGTCAACCAGCTGATACACTGCAGGCAATTAAGATAAAAATTTAGAGAAAAAGAAAGTGAAAAACGAGCTTACAATACTATCTGAAAATAAATGATTACTGCAGTTTATGAACACAAAGGTCTTAGACATATTACCACATCTGAGGACTTAGAGAAAATGCCTGACAGACTGTAATTATACACACTCTCTCACCCTTCAAACCTGAACACAAAAATTGGTAAGAGAGTGACTCCTGTCCAGGTGAGCTTAGTAGAAAAAGAGCCCCTATAACTTACAAAATTACCCTATAAAACTAAATAATAATTTCTAACTCCGAGTACTGAGTACCAAATAGTGGTGGTGTAAGAATACTTATTACCCTAACTATCCCATAGGAGTCGTAAGATGCGACAGAGGGACACAAACAAGGATATGGGCAGCAGCGTCTTTCTAATAACGACTAAAAATAAAAAAAACTGCAGTTAAAAAAATAAAGACAATAATTAATTCGCAACCATCCGCTTAAAAATACAATGATGTGTCTTACCTGGATTGAAGAGCACCTCCCGCCTTCCCTCAAATGCGTGCACTAATCCCGTCACCACTAATCCCAGCACCACTACTCACCATGCCTCGTGTAGAGGCGAAACACGTGTCGTATTGTCGTCGATGGTGTGTCTTTCCTGGAATAGTGGTGTTGGGAGTAGTGGTGTTGGGAGTAGTGATGCTGGGATTAGTGGTGACGGGAATAGTGCACGCATTTCGGGGATGGCGGGAGGTGCTCTTCAATCCAGGTAAGACACATCATTGTATTTTTTGTAATGGTTGCGAATTAATTAATGTCTTTATTGTAATGGATTTCCGCAAAGTAACGCCTGATTCTATCAATTATCTTAAAACTGCAGTTGCCAACCCACTTGCCAAGCATGGAAATTGTGGCATAATCCCTCTATCTAGGACTGACGGAGACTTCAATAGGCTGTAATGGTAACGGTATCAGTAATTTATAATGCTGAAACATACCTGTATGAGATCTCAGATGCAACTTAAGTTCACCTTTTCTAGCAGCAGTATAATCACAATGGCCGCATTTAAAAGGTCTCATCTTATCATGGACAGTACTTATATGTACTCTTAATCGCCGCTCATTACTAAATTCTCTTTGGCAGATATGGCATTGAACAGGGGTCGAGTCTTGTACATGAATCAACTTGTGTTTAGAGAACTGATTACCATTTTTGAAAGACTTATTGCAGATTGAACCTGGCAAAGACATAGGCGTACATGGTTATTGTTATTTCAGTTTACTTATTTTTAATATTATAAGCATAAAATAGTATTAACATGATTAAAAAAAAAAGATGAACTCAAAGTTTCTGCATTGCTGGATTTTTCTGCAAAGGTCTAATTTTTAAAATCAGTAGAGGTTTTTTTTTCATTACAACCCTTCACAAGTCCACTGCTGTACATAGGCCTAACCCAAGTAATGCCACAAAGCACGGTCCTGAGCCACCTGCATCCATCGACTTCCTGCATGTCTTACCAGGTCGTCACTCCATCTAGTGGGGGGTCGCCCTACACTACGCCTACCGGTACGAGGCTGCCACTCGAGAACCTTTCTTCCCCATCGGTTATCGGTTCTTCGAGCTATATGGCCGGCCCATTGCCACTTCAGCTTACTAATCCGTTGGGCTACAGCTACAAATATAATATAATATTAGACAACAGTTATAAATATAATATTAAGACAGCGTTTGTATTACAAAAAAAGAGCGATTCGCACCATGTTACGTATTCCACAAATTGAGTCGTGTAAAGAACATTTTAGAAAACTTGGCATACCTACGGTTCCCTCTCTGTATAACTTAGTTTCACTTACATATTTAGTAAAAAAAAATTACAAATATGAAACAAACGAAAAAAGGAAAAAGAGAGAAATGACACGTCGAAAAGATTTAAAAACACTTCAATTACACCAACATTGAATGTTGTATGCCACAGCACTAGGCATCAAGCCATTGCACTATTTAATTATTTACCTATCTCATTTAAAGTTATTTATTGCCAGCGAAAATTCCAAAATAAACTCAAATCATTATTAATTAAGAAAAGCTACTACTCAGTTGACGAATATCTAAATGACAAAAATAAACTTAATGAATGTTAATTTTTTTTGTTTATGTAAGTACTATATTTTAATCTATTATGACATGAAAAATATTTAATTATGACATGAAAAGTATTAAATGTATATAAGTATATAAAATGATTGTCAAATTATATTTAAATTTTATTCAATTTTAGTTTTATTTAAGTCAATTGCATGTATTTTTGGTTTTGTGTAATCAATTTTCCAATACAATGTAATATTGTTCTATGGAATAAAATAACTATGACTATGGCTATGTCGGTCACTCTGGTTTTACTGCAGATATCCTCATTTCTGAGTCTATCACGCAGAGAAACTCCGAGCATAGCCCTCTCCATAGCTCGCTGAGCGACCTTGAGCGTCCTCATACGGCCAGCAGTGTAGGACCACGTCTCAGATCCGTAAGTCATCACTGGCAACACGCACTGGTTCTACACTTTAGTTTTCAGAGATTGAGGTATACCTGACGAGAAGATGTGTCGTAATTTCCGGAACGCTGCCCAGACGAGTTGAATCCGTCGATTGACCTCTCGGTCGAAGTTGGACTTACCTAGTCGGACTATTTGTCCCAAGTAAACGTACTCGTCAACAACTTCGAGCATAGTGCTCCCAACAACTACCGGCATAGGCGTGACATGGACATTAAACATGATCTTTGTTTTGTCCACGTTCATCTTAAGACCTATCCATTGGGAGACACCATTGAGGTCATTGAGCATAGTGCTAAGGTCCTCCAGCGATTCTGCCATAAGGAATATATCGTCGGCAAATCGAATGATGTACTATTCATTGATGGTAATACCGCACCCTTTCCATCTACTTAACTCTTCCACGGGGCCACCCTTCTAAACCTCTCTCAGTTATATTTCGAGCTCTGGTTCTGTACCATACATCGAGCTACTGTACAAACTTCAGCACCGTATACAGTCAGGCACAAGTATCAGCCCAAATTTCGACGGAATCAAAGGCTTTCTCATAGTCCACATATTATGTCAGGCAAAGTGCAGATTGTACTCTTCGGTCTTCTGTACAATCTGCCGCAGGGTATGTATGTGGTCTATGGTACAGAAGCCTTTTCGGAAACCGGCTTGTTCGGGAGGCTGGAAGTCGTCGAGTCTGCATGCGAGACGATTCATAATGACTCTCGAAAACAGCACGTAGACGCGGCTCAGAAGGGAAATCGGTCTGTAGTTCTTCAAGAGAGCGTTGTCGCCTTTCTTAAAGAACAAGACCACCGCACTTCTGCTCCAGGCCTCCGGAGTAGTGCCACCATGGAGGACGGAATTGAAGAGCTTCTGAAGGACTTCAATTACCGGTGTTCCACCCGCTTTCAGAAGCTCCGCTGTAATTATGTAATTATTAAAACACACAGTCCTCGCCTGGGGCCCTGCCGTTTTTAAGGTGCTGGAGAGCCATTCTAATCTCGCTCAGACTGACGTCCGGGATATCATCGGAACAGTGTCGGATAAGACATGCTCTTGGATCGTTACTCACACTTGCGTGTTGCTCCAACGATGATGTGTACAGCTGCCCATAGAACCTCTCAATGTCACTCAAAATCTCAGGTGTCCCGGAAACGATACTGCCACATTCAGTCTTCAGCTTTGACAGTTTGCTCTTTCTAGCAGACAGATCTCTGGCAAAGACTTTGGAGCCCTGGTTCCGCTCAATCGCTTCTTTAATACGAGCAGTATTAAATTTGCGTAAGTCTCGCCGCATGCATTTGAAGATCTGTCTGTTCAGTTGCCTGTATGCTGTCAAATCTGTTGACGATTGCAGCCTCATCTCCCGTCTAACAGCCACGAGATTAACAGTGTGATCGGAGAGTTTTTGTATTCTTCTGCGGCGGGTCTTGCAGAACTTAGCTCCGACCGCATGGACAGTTTCCACGAGCCTGTCATTCATATCGTCCACTGCATTGCAATCTTCTAGGCACTGAAATCGGTTACGTAATTCGAGCTGAAAAGTTTCGGGATTCTGGATTAGAGCATGAGGGGGACGGAGTGTTGACTTTATTAGACGAGAACTCTCCAACTTAACGTTAAGGTTCAGTGTGTCTCAACCCATTCGGTGATCGCTGCCAGTTTTCACCCTTGCGATCACTGAGACATCACTGAACAGTTGGCGTCTGGTCGTCATAATGAAGTCAATCTAATTTTTTGTCGAACCGTCGGGGCTCGACCAAGTCCACTTCCTGTGGGGCCGCTTCTGGAAGAAAGAGTTCATCATAAAGAGTCCCTCTTTCTCCATAAAGTCGGCCAGCTGCTGGCCCCTTCGGTTCCGTTGCCCTACTCCAAATTTCCCTAACTTCAGCTCATCGCTTTCTCTTGTGCCTAGTTTTGCGTTGAAGTCTCCCATCAACACCATGTAGTGGCTTTTGGAGGAATGCATGGCTCTGGAAATATCCTCATACATCTCCTCCACCTCCTCATCGGGATGTGCCGAGGTTGGTGCGTAAACCTGTATGACCTTCAGCGAATACCGTTTGGTGATTCTGAGTATCAGGTACGCGACCCTCGTCGACACACTCCCAATCTTTACAACGTTGTTGACGAGAGACTTGTGGACGATAAATCCGACACCTCCTTGGGACAGATGGTCGCCCTCCCGGTGATAGAACAAGTTGCTGGACTCGAGGATTACCGTGTCTTCCCCCTCTCTTCGGACCTCGGATAATCCAATAATATGCCAGCGCAACTTGTCTACCTCTTCTTCCAGCTCCAGTATCTTCTCGTCAGTCCTCAGGGTGCGTGCGTTATATGTTGCCAGGTCGAGTCGTCGTAGGTGGCAACCGAACCTCCACCGGAGATCCTTAGCACCCCCTGCCCCGCTGTTACCATGGTCGCCACCGTAGCCAGGAATAGCGGGGCCGCCGGGGACTGGAGGCCGTTTGTTTGCGTCGTTATTCAATATTTGCCATAGTTGTCACGCTTGGCGAGCGGGTTGGCAACCGCAGTTTTTTTATTATATCACTGTTGTTATCAGGAAGATGCTGCTGCCCATCTCCTGCCTGTCTCCCTCTGTCGCCTCATACGACACCCACAGGTAGATATGGGGTAGTGGATATTCTCAACCGCCACTACATGGCACAGTAGAGGTTTAAATATTCTTAATAAGTTGGAAAAAGCCTATTTTTTTATCTTAATCTTAAGTTTATTCCGAATAAAATTCTTCATTCTGCATTCATGCTTCGTTCAAATATTTCATTAATGCAATAAATTAGCATCATAATTAGTACTATGCATGATATTGCTCTATTTTTTTATAGGATAAGGGTGACAAAAAAGCACAAAGTCCACCTGATGGTAAGTGGTTGCTGTAGCCCATAGACATCTACATCTGTCTTTGATTAAAAGTCAAAATGCAGATGCATTGTCACCCCTGAGGACTGAGATGGAATGTCTCATTTTCAGTAAAAGGGGTCTATGGTTCTCTACACTCACATATGAAACACAGCAGCATTAAACTTTATTTTACACTGGTATTCTGTAAGAGAGTGGTCCTTCCCCGGTCGAGCCGACCCATTCATGCTACAACTATATTGATAATATAGCTGCAGCATGGCTCTGACTATTATCATGAAAACAAATTCAATAGTGGTGGGGGCAGTAGAACTGTTTTGGTTTTTATATTCACCACTGAGGGACAAAGTAACTCATTTCTTCCTGGTGTCCACCAGTAAGGTCCAAAGGCAAGATTGGTATATATAGTAACTTTTTTCCCAATTTTCACCAGTGAGGGACATCAAGGATAGACAAACAAGTTCTCATATAAATTTTCTTCATAAATTGTTTGACTATAATAAAATTTAAAAAAAAATCGTTAAGTATGAAAGAATTCAATGAAATATAAAATTTAGAATTGGTCCTATACTTATATATATTATATATTTATATGTAGGTAACATTTTATTTAATCTCAGAACCTTCAAGAAATCTACGCATGCAGGATTAAAAATGGCGTAATAATAATCTTTCTTTAATGCTTAAAAATGTAAACTTTAGGTAAATAAGCCCCGGATTATCCGACCACTACTTATAACAAAGCACAAATATGTCAATTTGGTAATATAATAATAGTAGTTAATACTACTACTATTATTGACAACCGGTACTTGATTTTTCACTCAAATCGTTGCTGCAGAAACCACGTAAAACAATGTTTTAATTTTTTATATTACGCTTAAGAACGATTCGGATAATTGGTGTTTGGATAATTATAATTGGCATTCTACTGGACTCTGTTTCCATTTTCCACACAATTGTTCAGATTTTAACCACAAGCATTACTACGCTTATCAAATCTGGGAGAGACCTACATCCAGCAATGAACCTTTTGTCTAATTAAATATATATATATATATTATAGTAGTAAAGATAAAAAAATCTCACATGTATATGCCTTAAGTTTCCCATGGCATTTCATATGAATATTATGAAGTCTATACTTCTTGTACGTTTTAAAACCACAAATTTCGCATGTTGGCAACTCCATATCCACAGCATGCAACTTCCACAGGTGTGTGTGCAGTGCATCAATTGCGGGACAAATTTTACCACATTCTGGACAATGAAGTTTTCCATTTAGGTGACATTTTTTGTGATACAACATATTTTTTTCATCTTTTAAACGAACAAAGCATCCATCAATAGCACAATGTATCACATTTTTCTTTTCTGTATCACTGTTCATCTGCACTTTATTATCTTTATAAGAATAATTTAGGATTTGAACACTTGAGTCATTCACATTTGTTGATGCTTGAGGTTTAATAAGTTGTAAGGTCTCATCTTTATCAGTCTTTGGTGAAGATAAATTGCTATCAAGAACAGTTGTAACATGTGGTTGTACAGATGAAATGAGATCTGGAGTAACACTTGATACTTGGATAATATTGCGAGATGTATTTGATGATTCTGTATCAGATACATTTACATATTGAGTTGACATTTCATTACTGTACACTATATTGATACTAGCTTCCTGAATTAATTCTTTTGGATCAATGTTTTCAAAATTTGGTGTACTCATATTGTTCAACTCGTCAACTGATATGTAAGCAACACCTTTTGGTAGAGATTCATTATTTGGAGTAACGATGTCAGGAACTATTTCAATAACTTGTGGTATTTTAACATCGGCCCTATGGGGATTTATAGGCTTTGAATCATCTGTTTGCTTCTCTTCCTTCTTTAGTTTTGCATTTTTGAGGGCTATTTGAACTAAACTTTTTACCATTTTCTTCACATCTTTGATGCCCATTTTATGATGATTGCGAAGGTGAGTCCTAAGAGTTTCTTCTGCATCAAACACGCTGATACAACCTGGACAAGATATCTGTATATTGTCAGCAAGTCCATTTGTTTTGGCTAAATCTGGGTGAACAGTAAAAATATGGAATTTGATATCATCTTCAGCTAGTGCCATAAAAGGACATGCTTCACATTTAAAGAACACCGTCGATCCCACAGATTTCTCTTCGTAAGACATAACTTTTTCTTTTGTAATTGGAGGTTTTGCGTCTCGTTGTTCTATTATGTTATTGAAGCTCATAATGAAACATTGAGAAGTCATTTTCTGAGAAATAATAATGTTTTATCTACATGGTTCAATAAATAGTTTGATAAATTTTAAGGTATAATACACCACAAATTATGTTACATTAAGAACATAAAATAATTTAGGAATAATTTAGCCATATTTAAATATTCTCAAATACCACAACCCAAAACAAAAGTCAACACAACATTGCAAATGTAAAGGCAAAGTGACAGTTGACAGTTGGTGATTTTTTTTTTACTGGCTTTAGGGCTCTGGGTTCTAGCCAGTTCTAGCCACAGATAAATAAATATGTAGCATGCTAGTTCTAGCCTTTCTGAGCGTAGACAGAGAAACCAATAGACTAATGATTAGCGTGGCCTTGAGTGAGAAAGGACGATAACGTAGTTTTAGGTTATACAATAATGTTTATCACTTTTAAACATATTTGGGTAAAATTTAAACGTATATTCATATAGTTCTGTAACGAAATTTAAAATAACAATTGAATTTTATGCGTAATACCAGATAAAATGTACTATACAAATGATATACCGGTAGTTTACCCTATCACATTTACATCCTAAGACACTACATCTAACAATTTTAAAGTTTTTAATTGTTCTAAGAACTGAACTGAACAAGATTCACCAATATTAAGCTCACAAAAAACTTTTTTTCTCACTTAAACCAACTTGTAAACTCTTTAGATCGCCACGAACTGTCAAAGTTTGTTTCGCAAAGTGTAGTTTGCTAAACAAAAAAACCGGCATGGAGAAAGGGACAAACAACCACACCGCTATGTCTCATTTCTATGCATGACGTATACATAAATCTATCTTTTTCGTGTGCGAATGCGAAAGAAGGCGTCAATTTGTCTATAAGTTTCTCTGTCTACGTTTCTGAGCCTATTGGTTTGTGTTTTTTTTTATTAACTGGCTTTACAGCTCTGGGTTCTAGCCCTTGTGAGCCTATCATTTCTTTCGGAATCTTCATTTTTCTACATTGGGAAGGCCTTGAAAGATTTTGACGGCAGCTCAACCTAGTGGACAGTTGATGACGACATCCACTCAAGTTCATAAGGCGCCTAAGCGATTGAACTTGAGCTTTATATCGACATCAAAGCACTTGTTTCGTCGTTTTCTCTAATAGTTCACACGTGTGGACACTTAATTCACAAAATCGCATCACTTTTACCAATCAAAATCCACTTCAAACCATTATTCAAGCGACAAAACAGGAGCGACAACGCGTCTACGGCCAAGTTCCCGCCAAAACTTTGGTTTGTGGTTGGTGATATACAACCACAGGGCATGGACTAACTTTGTAGTATATTCTACAGAATATATCACAAAGACAAAGGTAGACTGGGCGCAAGATATAACTCTGTGCCCGGCCTAAATCAGAATATATCATGTGCTGCCATCTTGTTGTTTACGGCGAGTGCCTAACGAGAATAAAAACACGACACCCAACACAGGTGCTGTGTTTTTATTAATTTCTGCAGTAAATAACCGTCATTCTTATGCCAAAAGTGATTAAAAGTGCTGACAGGTATATTATCTTAAAGTTTAAATGTGCCTGTAAAGAAGAACGAGACAATAACCACCCTACAGTACTGTTTTCTAAAGTTAGAGAACGCGGTGTATATTTCACAGATAGTTTTTAGGTCTGCCATAACAATAAATCGCCCCAATTTTTTCGATATACTTATATCTTATTTTATTTTATTTCATTCGATTTCAGGTACACTCATTTGAAATGATAAAGAAATCAAAGGACAATGTCAAAAACAGGCCATGAAGATAAAGACTTAATGAGAAAAAAAAAATCAAATAACACCACCTCTTATTTTTCTACTGTATTATTAACAATTGTTTTAGTACTTTACACGTTTAAACCGAACGTTGTCGTTCGGTGACTGTAGTCACCATGGACAGTAATACAGAATTTTTGTGGGGACTACTGTCACCGTTGACTCGTTGACGCTTGAATGGTTAATGTGATGCACGACGAAAACTAAACTCTTATTAAAGCTATTATATTTCATTAAAAAAAAATACCATCTGCGGTCCATTGACGGAACCACTATAAAAATAAGTTTCACGGTTTAGAGGTGAAAAAGGACGAACCAAAAAACAACTTAGATGAAAGGCATAAATAAGTTAGAAAACTTGTTGTACCCACAGATATTGTGTCATGTATCCTTGGCAATAGGAAAACATTCTCACAATCTCTTATCGTATTATTATTATTATTGAAATATCGATATAGGGTGCCCTATTAACCGCAATTTTATCCTCTCAGTAAAGTGTAGGCTAAACACGTTTTTCTTGTAGGTATGCCAAGTCCATAGGATTAATAAGTCAGTGGATTTAGCGTGCTGCAAAACTTTTCGCGCTTGCCAGCCTCCTACACTGTAGACAGAGAATGCTATAGACACCGGCTAAACGTGTGGCAAAAAGAGACAAAAATAAACTACGTCACTATATTTTACAAGGTCTATATGTTACAAGTTTGAGGAAAAATTGACCTCAAAACTAGTTATAAAATTAGAAAATAGTACCTACATAAAACTTAAATAAAAAAAGCCTGCAAAGGGACACTGCTATTTTTTTTTGCCGATTATCATCGATATACGGATATGCGGAGGAGAAAACATGCTGCGAAACTCAAATCAATTGCGATGAGGGCCAAGGTGAAGATAGATGATGATGATGTGGTACTAAATAACTTCCATTTCTTATGTTCTGGCTTCGGGAGTAAATAATACCACATGTTTATTAATAATGAGATTTTATTGATTATTGTCTTTTAAACAAAACAAGCTTCGTAAGAAGGTTTCTAATTTTTTTTTGCTTGGTTTCAAATGCTATTGTTGCGTGACGTATACGCAGTTTAAAATAGTGCATGGAAATTATTTCCAATAAAAAGGTTGACATAAGAAATGATGTTGTAAATACATCCTGGCATCGTTTGAAAGTTGTTAAAACAAGTTTTGGTAAAAGATTTTTTCTCCAAAGATTGACACTTCTTTATGTGAATTAATCTTAAATATTCTTTCTGCCAACGTACATTCTTTAATAACATCGTTTAAAGGATAAATAAGGCCACTTTTATCTTTTTTACATATAAGACCTAAATATTTGTCGCTAATAAGAGCTAACAGACAATCTTCACATTTCATAGTTTTTCTTAATTTCCTAACTGTAAACCCACCGATATATGAAATAACATCTTCATTATAGATGGTCAATTTTGAGAGTTTAAAAATATAATCGTGATCATCATCGATAAAGAAATTTTTATTAGGGGGAAATCTATAATTAAGTCTTCAAGGTCTTGAATGCAGTACATTTTAATTTTCTCTATTGGCAGGGTCAACAGATTCCAATAAATTCCCCTTTTTATTCACTTATCAAAGACTCTTTTTTCTCGAAGAGTCTTTAATTTTATCAGTCGTTCGAATGATAGTTTTTCCGAGTGTTTCCATTTCTTTCGCAATGTTCGAGAAGTGTACTCTGGAGTCTTGTCCTAAAACCCTAAAAACCGTTTATTAACGATAACTTTGTTACTACAAACACAACATTTTCTGGTTGTAATACTTCTGTGGCGGCCCTGTCACACAAGACGCACCACAAGCGAAACACATCGAAGCCTAAGTCACGCTATTAAAGTTTCGAATCAAAACAGTATATATAGAATAGCTCCGAACTATCAAATGAAGCGTTGGCCGCTCCCCAGGCAGAACACCCTGCCCGGCGGGGGATCGCCCCTTTTCTTTCGACGTCTACACTTACTATTGATGGTTGTTTAGAAATTGGGGGGTTTTATTATTTCAACTGGCTTTTAACTACTATTCGACGGCAGTAGGTCAAAAACAGAATCAATGTGAAATCAAGGGATTTGTAAGTTAAATATTCCACACTTTTGGTTTCATAACGTCCCTTGATCAAACTGCTTGATAATGAATTAATGTACCAAGATTATAACGAAGGTAATTTATTTTAATACTTTAGAATACATTGCCAAATACTGTATTGGGTTTGGGTTAGGAAAATAATATTATTTTTATTTAATATTGTTTACTTACACGAATGCTTAAATTATTTTCGATTTCCAAACGTGTTTCGTCATGTTAACTGATGGAGGAAGATAATGAAATACAGGCTTTTGTTTCCTAAAAAAGTTAATTATCTATGAAACATTAATTAATACAAAATTAAAAGTTATTGGTATTTTAAATTCTGAATGAGATTCAAGTTTTAATATTAATTATTTAAACTTGAATCGCGTTCAGAGTCTAAGAGAAGCCAATCTTAGCCATTTATTGCTAATAAAATGCACAAAATAATATTTGCAACTAACACGGAAATTGTACTAAATGGTGATAAAAACATTCGGCGACGGGCCGTCCCATTTCGCTTGGAGCTTCAAAGATTTCCCTTTGCTGCGGACTGGATTGTGCTGTGGCGGGGGTATCGTCACGCTACAAGCGAAACACACCGAAGCCTAAATCGCGCTATCGAAGTTCCGAATCATAAAAACTATATATAGAACATCTCCGAACTATCACACGGAGTGTTGGCCACTCCCCGGGCAAAACGCCTTGCCTTAGAGTAACAGTAGTATAGAGTGCGCGCAGCGAAGTGAGAACAGTAGGCACGGGTGAGAACAACACGACGTTCCCGCCGCGAGCGCTTGTAGTCGTGGTTGAGTGCTAGCAGTGTGCGTTTCTCCAGATTTTTTTAAAAATTTGCGAATCAAAATGGTGAAATGTGCAGTTCGATCGTGCAAAAACGACACTAGGAAACACACGAAACTGAAATCTAATATCACATTTCATCGGTAAGTCAATTTTTATACTTATTTTTATGAAAACAAATCATGCATCACGGGGGGTGAAGGCGACGTGGGAGGCGGGCACGTATAGGCCCGCCCGCGCCCCCCCTCCCCGCCACTCCGCATTCCCCGCGCGAGACTGTAGTGATGTGACGCGACCAACGCTGTAGTCGATATTTTTTTTATTGTTGTCT